GTGCCAGCAGCATCCCGGGTTGGGGCTGGCCATGGAGCAGGCAGCCCCCATCCTGTGTGCTGTGCGAGGCGCTGGGGACGGGGTGGGGGCAGCTGGGATGGGGCTGAGCACACGCTGGAGCCCTGCGTGCCATTTCTTGAGGCCACCAGCATGTGCCTGTCCCTTCCGCATGCCAGCCGTGCGTGCAGCGCGCGTTGCGTTTTTAGGGGAAAACATCTCCCGTATGTAGGGAGCTTAAAAAGTACCGGTTTGTGAGTCAAACTGGAGGCAGGCGAGGCCGACTCACCACTTATCTGGATGGGGGAGGAAGGGGGGTGGTGGTGTCAGGCATCTGGCACGGAGAGCACGGGACAGGGATCTTTCCTGTGCCCAGCAATGCCTGGCAAAGTCGGATGGAACTAAAGCGATGAGCGCTTTAGGGTTTCCCCTAAATTTCCCTGAAATCAGTAAAAAGGAAAATACTGCGTTTCCCACCTCACTGTGCCACTGCTACCACTGCATCCCGGTGCTGGCCTCGATGCTCTGGGCACGGACGGACGCTGCCGGGGAGGTTTCAGAGCCTCGCACCGTTCCCTGGGGCTCGTGGGCAAGGACCCCTCCTCACCTGCCCTCCAGCCTGGGCCTGGGACCCCAGCCCAGTTTGCTGGGTTAAAGTGGAACCTGGCGGTTCTGGTTCGTACCCCTGGAAAAAACAACCCAGGTTAAATTGTTCAGTGCCTCACCCGCCAGCGAGGGCTGCTGCGCCTGATTTGGCCGCAGTCCCTGCTCTTGGTTTTCTTTTTTTTGGTCACAATGGGAGTCGCTAGCGGGCGGTGCAGGTAACGGGAGCGGGCAGCGGGGTCAAAACTCTGAAAACTTGTGACCAATCAGGCAAATGAGCTCTTGCTTTTGCTTGGTAACTTTGAGAAAGCTGTGATTCTGTGATTCTCTGTGGCTAATTTCTCATGGTCCAAGGGCTGCTGCCTCCAGCAAGCCACTGATGCTCTTGTCCTCGCCGGGAGGTTTCAGCAGCTTCACCCCTCGCAGTCCTGTCCTAAACAAGCTAAAACCCCGGCACTGGGCTATGGGGAGCGATGGGGACTGCTCGCCATGTGTCCTTGGGGAGTCCCGTATCGCCCCATCCTGCAGGACCCCCCTTCCTCTAAGGGGTTTTGCCTTTTGGGGGTAGGGATCAGGGACGACCACCTCGTCTGGCCTCAGAGAGCCGATATCCCCTTACACAAGCTTTTCCTTGAGAATGGGTCGCCCTCCCCAAGCTGTAATTCTTCCTGGCAGCGACAGTGCAAGTGGTTATGGGACAACAAAAGAGGTTTGTGCCTCCAGGGGAGAAATAAGAATGCAAATATCTTTGGCATGAAAAAAACAAAGGCGATTTACTCCTTGGTATTTCTTGTCGGTACTTTGCATCTGTCTCTGCTTCACCTTCTCATTCCTTTCCTTTGGGCTTTCCAAGTGCAATAAGGCTTTGGGGAGTGATGGGGGCTGGAGGGGCCCGGCGGGAGGGATGGGGCTGATCCCTGGTGCCTGCAACCCCTCCAGCCCAGGGCTTCGCAGCTCTGCTGTGGAATGCTTTTGTCCCCGTGTTCTTCACCCTCTTTGGGAGGATTTGCCCTGCTGCAGCCTGGCCTCGCGGAGGGCTTGGCCACGTCTTGCCAGAACGCTTTGCCCCGGCACATCCATTGTGGGTTCGTCCCGTGCCTGGCAGCGGCTTGCGCCGGGACGTGCTTCTCCATCTTCCCGGGGACTTTGCACCGCTCCCAGCCTGGGTGCGGGGCCAGTGTTTGAGGGCTCTGCAAACCAGAGCGAAGGAGAGCAAGCGTCCCGTCAGTGGGCATAAATCAGCCGGGAGCTGGAAAACAGGGCGGGCTGCAAACAGCAAGGGAGGACGGGCCCCCGCTTTCTGCCGCCGGATGGGTCAGGGACTTCCAGTTCATTTATTCTGCTGGGGTTCGCCCAGCCCTGCTCGGCATGTGTAATGTTTTCTCTGAAAGACCTAGCAGTCAGATGGGTGAAAAACATTCTCCTGTCTCAGGAGCTGGCAGAAATCCTAGCAAATCTGCAGAAGTATGTTTTTGTCGGTGCTGCTTATTCTGTTAGGGGAACGAGTATAAACTATTCCAGTAGAAAACCTTTTCCTGGAATAAAGTCTTGACTCTGTTCAGAGCATTGTCAGGACAGTTGTACCGAGAACCGAGTTTTGCTGGTAAACAAGCCGGGACCGCGGAGGCCTAACGGGGCAGGCGCAGAGCTCGTGCACCACGGATCAACCCCTCACAAGGCACCTGCTGCCTTTTGCTGTGCTCAAACCAAAGATAAAATCACGCACAGTTTATTTGGAAACAAAACAAGGAATTTTTTTTCTCCCCTCTGAAAGCCTGGCTGCCCCTGCCGGGATGTGCCACCGTCCATCCCCTCCAGGCTGCAGCTGGGCATCCCTGCTGGGGTTGGGGTCAGCACCACGAGCCACAACGTGGGGGCTCGTCCCCATCCTGCGTCACTCGGTAGCCCTGGGGTCAGCACTCAGCGTGAGCCATCACTTCGGCTTGTCTGCCTTGGTTTCCCTGGCCCCAGCTGGCATGAGGGGTGATGCTGGGAGTCCCCGGGGTGGCCCTGGGATAACAGCGGGTGCCCACTCCGGTTTGAATTTCTCATCCCCTGATGTGTCCTTATCTCCCCGCTCCTGGCAGCCGGGATGGGGACGCCTGCCGGGGCTTTTGGCAGGAGAGCAGGGCCGCCGGCATGGGTTTGGGCCGCAGATAAAAGCTGTGACGCCCTGGGCGGGGTGTGAGCCCTGGGTGCTGGTGGGGGATGGCTCGGCACAGCCGGGCGTGCTTCAAAGGACCAGCAGGTTTTTCTGGGCTCCGGCTGCTGCTTTGGTCTCCAGGCAGGCGTGAAAATGTGAAAGAATGTGAAAAATGTGAAAATGATCGTGCTGGCCCCAAGATTTGTAAACTTCTGGTTAATGTGTAATAAATACATGACAGATCCTCCCAGCGCGGGGCAGGCGACCGTGGCCGCTCCGTCGTGGTCCGGCCGGCGGTGGCATCCCCAAGCCCAGGAGGCATCTCCCCTCCCCTGGCCTGGGGCCAGCCCCAGGGCATCCCGAGCAGCCCCGGGCCGGGG